AAGGTGGCCCTTCACTATCCATTCCTGAATGAGCCACATGGGCTCTCTGCTGGATTCTAAATTATGTGAATTTTGCCATATTAAATCTTAATTTATCATATTTTCTGTTACATTCAATCAGAATCCTCAAAACCTAAAAAGCTTAGCTGCCCCTTCTGAGATGCTGAGAACTGTGTCTTTATTTATAAATGCAAATGGCTACCGTTTTACAATAAAATGTTGCGTGTGTCATTGGTGAGTACGTTTTTGAAAAGGGTGTAGGCCTTATGAGGTGAGGCTGCCAGTGAAGACCTAGCAGGTCAATCCAGGTTGGAATGAAATGAAGTCTCACACAGGGCTCTGAGGATCCTAGGATGCCTCTGTCCCCTCACCCAGTGGTCTGGGAAGTTGCCCTCCCTCGGGGGTTCTTGGAGCTCCTGACACCCAGCCACAGAGTTCAAGTACAGCTGAGATGTCAGCAAGAACGGCGGCATAGACTAAGCTAAGCACACCTTGTTTATGCAACACGCCTGTGTCCCTGCATGTGGGCTGTGCTCCCATGGGTGTAGCTGCTGCGAGAGTGCTGCAGGGACTACTAGTAGGCACAAGACAAGTTGGTGGCCTGAGTTGCAGGTCTTATGTAAGACCCCTCTGCCTATGGCTCCCCAGCCTGCATGGGCTTCCCCTAGGGCAGCCCAGGTCACCTAAAGATGCCTCCGCACAGTAGAAAGTTCTTGGTGTTGAGCTGCAACCGGCCTGTTATGCCCCTGGAAGTCACAGATTAGGTCTAATCATTCATTTTAAGACTGGCCCTGGCATCAGGAGTCCCTAATTAGGGAACACAGGAGTCCCCTGACAATTTTGGAAGGTTCTGTCTTTGTAGATGAGGCAGTGCAGGGTAGAATAGGAACTGCATTAGACTGAGAACCAGACCTAGAAAGTTGGTCTCCTGGGAATTCAGTACCGTCTGTTGAGAAATTCCCAAGGGAGTGGGTGAGGTGATGGTGTTACGGGTTTGAACGTTCTAGTAAATCTGATAATCCTCAATCCTTTGAAAGGGGGTGAGTGTTAGTTATTCACTGATGTGAGATGATACCAGGTTATGTGTCATTAAGCCGAGATCAGATTAACCTAACTAAGATTTGTTTACCAGTTTCAGGCAGGGAGACCCAGTGGTTAGGTTTCCTCACCTGGGCTCAGGTTCAGGATATCAGAGGTGAATCATACTTTACCAGTACCTCAATTTCCTCTTCTAATTTTGGGAGAAAGTATTTGTTGGAAGGCCATCTCTTTGATGAAATATCCATCAGCTAATTTAACTTCTATTTGGGGGTAAGAGTATTTAAGGTAAATATTGTTTCTGTACCACACTGACTGCCCACCCACCTGTCCAGGTTATGGCAAGTCTCAGCTGTGGAGCTGAAATTCATTCTGAACTTTGATACCAAATAAACTAGAAAAAAAAGAAGTTAGCAAGTGACATTTCACATGATAAAATCTGGGCTTTATTATTTTACATTCAGTAGGTCAATAAAGCTCCCATCCACATCTTACAAGGCTGGGGAGAGGCGGGGTCATGATCAACCATGGCCTTTTCAAGTTACAAATCAGCAACAGCGGTCCAAAGGTGGCGGACACGTATTTATTGCATCATTGTAAACAGAGACAATCTTGTCTCCTCTGGACCAGATGCCCAACAGGCTAGAAAAGTATAACTTACCTCCACTTCGAGGATACGTAATAAAAAGTGTAAGCCTCACCTTGGTGTTTTTTAAAGACTTAAGTGTGACACCCTATAAGGCATTTCCATGTCACAAATTCTACCATCTTTTTTTGTAAAATTGCTGCATGTTGTTCTGATTGTGTCTGCAGCTGTGCTGCGATTATGGGAGATACAGTGACTCACACTGGCCGGAATCCAAGTCTCACTTCCCAGGGATCAGGGCAGTTCAGCCTGGCGCTGCCACAGAGAGTGGTGCCATCAGATGACACCCAGGACCTGCCACAACTTTAGACTGATCTTGTTTGATCCACAGCTGTGACCATGTATTACCACAAATTTAACAATAAAAATTGGTTTTAAGAGTATCTGAGAAAGGAATAAGCAATCATTCCATGCTGTGTCCTTCCCTCGTTTTAAAATAAGCAATGTCCTATACTTTCATTATTTAAGATTCAGAAGTAAAAACATTATTAAAAAAATACATAGCCTCAAAAACTCCAGCATTCCTAGTACACAATGCTCTCACTTCTTTGGCAATGCAGAACCTGCAAGCTGACTGTTCAGCCTGGGTCCATGTCATCTCTCCAGGATGAGCGTGTCCTAGGGTTTCAATTGGTTCTACAACATAAGTGAGAGGATTGAGCCAAGTATAAAGTCTTAAGCATCTCACGTGGGAACCAAGTACTCAAACCCAAAGCCAATGGTCTCACTGTGATTCAACTCTGATGGTATGGCTGGGGGGACTCTAGCAGTGAGCCAAGCTGAGATGTGGCACAATGCAGGCTGGGGCTGATGCCAGCTGAGAGATGGTGAAGGATTCCACAACCAGGCTTGTATTAGCAGCCAGAGCAATGGACAGATGGGAGGGGCCTGTCTGTCTAGGTCTGCTGCAGAGGTCTTAGGTGGAGGCTCCACCCCACATACAGACAGGTCAGCCCAGATCAAGAGCGCTCAGCAGGCACGGCCTGTCCCGTCAGACACCGTGTGCACCTCCACCCCGATTTTAAACTGAATATACTTCAAGTCATTGAACTCTCTCTGTGTAAAGAATGGAACAGAGCAAAAGGATGTTCTTGGCTGGTAGGAACCCAGTGCCCCCAAGCCTGCAGCAGGTCTCTGGACTCCTTCAGTTCTGACAGCAGCTTCTGAGGTGAGGTGCAGGTGCTCTGGGTCAGAAACCACTGCCTGGCCGGCCATGCACAGCTGTTTCCAGGCACTTCTGTCAGTGAGTACATTAAGTGTGAAGGGGATTTTAAAAGTTCACCCTCAGCTGCAAAGAACAGCTGGATTTCTGTCATCTTGCAAAATGATAAATACACGCAATAGATTCACGTGTTTTCCAAAATCAACTCTAAGATGCCATATCCCAGCTGGGCGAAGTGGCTCATGCCTATAATCCCAGCTACTCGGGAGGCAGAGGCATGAGAATCACTCAAACCAAAAGGTGGAGGTTGCAGCGAGTTGAGGTTTGCACCACTGCACTCCAGCTTGGACGACAAAGCGAAACGCTGTCT